GAACAGAACATCCTTCTTTCCGACTGGGCACGGAAAGGTGGCTCAGGGTTCAAAAGGCATAACCTTCAATGTTAAAAGACGTCGGATCGCCACTCAGGGAGGTGTCGTATCTGAGTGAAAGATCTGGTTTTTCGGTGAAATTGTGCAGTTGAAATAACAGTTGGTTAGCTTACCTTGCACACAGGTAATTTAGAGAACATTAAACACTTAGCGTAATGGGTTTCTTGAACTGATTACCGTAACTCTGTAACCTATTTTTCAAACAGTCTCGATATGACTTCAGCATTGCGACGTAATGTTTTGGCTCACCCGCTGTTTACTAACTGTGGATTGGATGGACAGTTGTTGTGTGTCCTTGACCATACTATTAACCACAGGTCTGTCTGATTCAGACTCGGGGCGGTGGGGTAGCTTAGTGGTTAAATCGTTCGCTCGTCACGCCGAAGACCCGGGTTCGATTCCCCACATGGGCACAATGTGTGAAACCCATTCCTGGTGTCCCCTGCCGTGATATTGCTGGAATATTGCTAAAAGCGGCTTAAAACCATACTCACTCATTTTGATTCAGCCTTGATTATTTACAAACTGCTTCACATCGATATATACATAGATTTATTGCTTATTGTGTCATAGAATAATGCAGTCTCATTTTCAGAAAGTCTTAACAATGGAAATTGATAATCTTGTCTATAACGTCCGACCAAATTCAGAAGATCATATCACTCACATATATGTGTTAGATTGTATTCTGGATCCTGGCAGAGCAAAGGGACGTTCTGGATCCTTTATCTCACCATAGCTCTCATTTTCACCGCGTCATACCAAAATACGTTAAAATATGGTACTTGTTGGTCCCTGCCTGGCGCTCGGCATTAATGGGTACAACAAGGACTGGTCGGCTCGGAGTCAGTATAATGTGTCTGAGTGGGGTATTCATGCTTAACTGCGGCATGGTATCTCAGTGGACTAGCACTATAAAACCAGCTTCAGTCTGGGCTAGTACAAACCAGATTTCACCTCACCTCACCTCATTTTCACTATAGCTGTAAATGTTTGTTTCCATCAAAACGTCGATGCTTGCCGAAACGTCGATTTGTTTTCCTCGACTCAAACAACAAATTTTTCAGTTTTATTTCACAATTTTATAGTCTCCATCCGTTGGTGCTCCATAGTGCTTAATATGTGGAGGAAAATCAACAGGATGTTACCTCGATAACTTTACCGATTACCGATTAACGATGTGTTTTGGGGACGACAGATCATCTTTGACTCGAGCCGTAAAAAGAAGTTTACCGTTAATGATGATCAACTTTTTCGGTTTCTAGAAACAAACGTCACACGTCGTGGATTCTAGCCAAGGCAGCAGCGAGTTGTGTCCCTGACAGTTTAAAGGATTTGCTAGGTTTGTATTTGAAAAATAATAGTGAAATGTTGGACCAACATAAGACTCTTTCAGCACTAGGTAAATTCGACATATTTTTGATAATCAGTGTCATTTCGCCTTGGGCGTCCCTCAGTTTTTAAGTACAGCTGACCGTCGAGATATGACTGAACTAATTTAATGTGACAAGGGTTGTTAAAAACCAGCAATCATTCCTGATGAACTGGGCTCTATGTATCTTTAAGATCAAATCGCTGATAGTCCCCTAAGCATATCTGAGAACGGATTCTATTGCTGCTATGAACATCACGAGTGACGCATTCTGTTATAGGGCGACAGGCGCTTTGGACGATGAAATATGTTTGACGTCACACCATAAATAACCTTCGAGAGGTGTGGCAATAACTGTAACATATGATATATTTTCTATGAATATGCTCTACCCGTGAAAATCAGGGTCGGAATTGGTCTTCAGTGACCATTCCTTCGTTCCAGGAGGTCTAAGGACACATACAAACTCATATAATTAACCCCAGCGAGGTGGGAGATTCCTGAACCTGAGGAAATCTAGACATGCTTCACTGAGGGTTTTTACAAGGCAAAAAGGAAGGGGAAATAATGTGGTACAGGGGATGTGAAACAGTCTAACGTATCGCATTCCTTTCTGGAAATCGGAAGAACAGAAAAGGGGTGTTTGGGCAAGGAGTTGACTCAAGGTGTGAGTGAGTTAGTTTAGATCTTCGCCGCTTTTAGCAATATTCCAGCAATATCACGGCGGGCGACACAACAAATGGGCTTCATACTGTAGGCTACCCATGTGTACACAGATCCTTAACGTGACGAGCGAACGCTTTAACCACTATAGTCCGTCAACTTAACTTTTGGCACCCTGTTTTTCACAATTTACATAAAACTCCTGAATATTTTAAACCGCTACTATGTTCATATGGTAATTGTATACCGTGACCTAACAAGATATCGATTTTAGTAATTTTAAAATGAATATTAAAGATTTTGCCTTTAAATTGTCATATAATAATTGTGAAACTGTGGAGAGTTTTACGAGGGGTTAACACACGTGATGGAAAAGCGAACAACATTGTAAAATGTATGTCAGCGTGAAATGTACATGCACGGGTATTTACATTAGCACGCTCAAGTGATGTCAAAGATCGTCAACACACATGTTGTGGTAAAAACGATGTTGTACAAAGATGACCGGTAAATCATCAAAAGAGTTTACAACTTTTTCAAGCGAAAGGCAAAGCGAAAAACACCCTCTTTTTCAATTGAGTGTTTCTACAAAGGACATTAATGCCACCAAGATGTGCAAAAGAACATAGCAAAGAGTTATCTCCCATGACATTCTTTCAGAGACTGACGATGACATGAAAATCGCAAAGAACATGCAAAGAAAAGAAAGCTTGATGAATTCGATAGAAGGGTAGTGAGGGACGTCATGCGTCGGTTACATCGATCCAGTGAGTCCATATCGTCAAGCAAACTGAAGAAAATATTGTTCAAAAGAAGACCTGACATCAATGTATCAAAGCATACCATATGCAAGCTGTTGCTTAAATGTGGATCTTGATAGAAGAGATTGAGCAACCAGTATTTAAAGACTTCAATAAATCTGCTTGTTTAAAATGGATTTGTGATGATTATACAGTCCCTTTAGATTTGCTTGCAGGCGTAACAATGTAAACAAGATGCACGCGTGTCACACCATGTTGTTTGCTGTTCCATCGTATCATTTTACTTCCTTGCATAACTACTTCTATTTTTCATATTTTTATAAGATGGCTTCTTAACAAGAAGCTTTAATAATTGACATAAAATTATGAAATTTAAACCTGAGATAGGTCATAAAATATAAAGAGCGTATGCCTAAAAACATTTTGAAGGCATTTTTGGTTAAAAGCTATATTGTGAAAAACAGGGTGCCAAAAGCTCAGTTGACGGACTATAGGCTATTGACTGCCCGATGACTCTTGGAAGGATTTCTTAATTTCGCGAACACCTGGTGTCACCACTTATTTTCAGTGGGTCATTCATATAAATTTACCCTTTCGCCTAAATCGTTTCAGAGGAAAGTCTGTGGTCAATCTTTAACAATGACATTGTATACTTCCGTAACTGACTTGTACGTTTACACTTGAACCTTGCGACCCTCCTAGCTACTGAAAACTGAGTGTAACGATATAAACATCCACGATGTTGACGTCTGATGCATTAAGTTGTAATAACTGAAAAAAACTCACTTTCTTACGCATTACATTATCTAATCTGAATTGTATAAGCATCGTTTCTCATGGAACTTAACCCATAAACTTTGGTTATATAATCTTTCTAATCAAGAAGTAGAAAATAAAACGATTTCCAAACCTCGAATGGCGCTGTCGAACTTGACTGACTTTAAAAACTATAGACCATCTTATCTGACAGAACTAAAACCAAAACTGCTGCCTTATTCCCATTATCAGACCTGGATACGATAGACATGCGCACGGCATGACATTCCTTAGTGATGGAGAGACGTCATGTCATGAAACGATCCAGAATAGCATCAATTCCACGAAATCCTGGAATCTATGCAGACTGTAAAACAACGTCAAACCACGATCTGGTTGTGTGAATACGTTCGGCCTTGATCGCGTGGATCACGATCTGAGGTTGTGGACATACTTAATACAAGACACATACGTCATGGATCTGCAACATCGTCTACTTTGATGTATCAGCTATTTTTCATAGGCTGGGAGATATCACCTAACACAACAAAACCGTGCTTCTTGAGCAATGTTTTACATACACATAAATCAACTGGAAATCTAATCTGTTCATTATTCTGCTGATTTCCAAATCGTTGCAGATTGCTCTTGAGATACCCTTGATAAAAAAAACAAATTTGCATTTGATGGCAAAATCGATAGAAATTCCTTCTATAATGCATGATATATCTTCTTGTGATCATTTCGCAATTCAAATGAAAAGTGTGTTGTATATCAAAGACCGCAAGAGTAATATGCTACATGTAATGACGTCATCAAGAATGTTCTTCATCGTATTTATAAGAAAAAATGAAGCGCAACCTCGTCAAGAATGAAAGGATGATTAAAGAGAGGAAAATTGACATTTAGAATTCATCATCAACTTCTGTAACTATACACTATAGAAACTAGCTAACAGAAAAAGGAACAAAATAATGAACTTATTTCGACAAACTACAATAATATAAACAAGACATCTTTGTTTGTATAAACCTGAAATAGTGTCACGCTATTGAATGTTTTGGTGCTATTTCCCTCGCGACTAATGACAATCTTGTAAAGCGAACACCGTCATCATCTACGTTTGTAACTATACACAATAGAGAGCGAACAGACAGCAAAGGAACCAAATAATGAAATAATTTCCACAAATTACAATATAATAAACAGGATATATTTGTTCATATACCTGAAATAGTGTCACACTATTAAATGTTTTGGTGCTAATTTCCCCACGACTAATGACAATCTTGTACAGGGAACACCGTCAAAGGAAGCAATGATCTAATTAATAGAGAACAAATAGATCAATAAATAATACATCGACAAGTACAATATCATGCAGTTACCTTCGGAAGATTCAGTACTGATCTTGACGTCTGACGGGGTAGCGTCCGCCTTGGCCGACATTGCGCTGCATCTATGAGTCGCAGCCCTTAGCAAGATAGTGTTCGTGTTATCGTCTGCCCCTCTGGCCAAAAGCGCCATAGTTTCGTAGCCCCGGAACCGCGCGAGTCCACAGAAGCGCGCGTCTCATCAGCTCCCTCCCGTAAGCTATACCATATTTCACCCAACAAGCTGGTGCACTGATCTTTCGGTGAACGAGCTTAGCAATTATGCACTGTCCAAAGTTTATGCGTCAAGAGAGTGGGCGGTGATCTGATATTTAGAAGCTTGCTAAAGTGATCAAGACTCTGAGTTTGTGGACGCCGTATGGCAAATGTTTATCGATGTGTGTTTTAACATTGTGGACATCTGTTGCCATATGTAGGGGGTGGCACTGCAAACTGTTGAATAGTTATTGAGGGACGAGTAGAGTGGACATATGCATGTGCTCTTTGAAAAGGATGTGAGTGAATATGGTTTTATTTTTAGCAATATTCCAGCAATATCACGGCAGGGAACACCAGAAATGGGCTTCACGCATCGTATACATGTGAACCCGGGCCTTCGGCGTGACGAGCGAACGCTTTAACCACTAGGCTACCCGGCCGCCCCCTTTACTCATGGACGGATTTCTTAGTTTCGCGGACACCTGTTGTCACCTGGTAGAAATGGCCTTCACACATGGAACCTATGTTTGGAATCGAACTCGGGCCTTCAGCGTGGCGAGCGAACGCTTTAACCACTAGGCTACCCCACTCCTAAGAAGGATGCACTGCGCATCTGGTGCAAAGAAATGTCATTACATGCAATGCATGAAATATTTGTTGATTTGTGGAAGATACGATTTTAATACAACTCCATGGATGAATATTTGAAGAGGGTAATGGTAGATGGGTCTTTGAATAAGTGACCAAACGAGGGAGTAATTGAATGAATGACTTACGCCCACTTTTCATTCTGCATGCGTGCGTGCGTTTGTGTACATGTGTGCACACCTTTAGCTTTTACACAGGGGAATCGAACCGGAATTTTAAGCGTCGCTGACGAACGCAACAGAAAAACAAGTTATGTAGATTCCAAGGAAGGTAACTCTGTCTAAATGAGTTGTGTGATTTGCTCACTAACTCGTAACTTGAACCAAACACCCAAACATGTGTTAGTTGTACCATTAAAAAACAAAAGCTTTTAGGATAGGAAGAAATAGAAAGGCCAAAAAGATCCCCTTGACCTGCACCAGATACCGCAAGCCATACCCTATCCAACTGACCTAATGTCTCTCCCTAGCTCGGCTTCTGAGTCTCTCTGATGGCGTCTGATCGTCCTATAGTTAGCCAGTAATGATGCTATTGTCTGCTGAGATGGGTTCCTTCTATGACATTATAGAATATTGTGGTGGAATAATGAATATGTATATGCTCATAACCGGGCCATTAAAGACAGCTTCAGCAATAACATATACTAACCAGAGCCTATAGTTGACGATGCCGTTGCCGATGTTGCTAGCTGTACGGTCGTAATATAGAATACAGCATACATGGTCGTCAAAGACGGCGTTTGATACCTTCTTCATCTCAGAAACCAATAGTGATGGTTACACAAGCCATTTGTTAAAATCTGATAAAATAAGATACTAGAAAATTTGTTACAGGTTTGGCTCTCCTTAGGGATGAAAGATTCAGAGCACAAACTATCTATCATATTCTTCCAGAGCATTGTACACTTGTAACAGTCTTGCCTGAAGTAGATAGTAATTACAGATTACTGTCAGAGAACTTATAGAAGTTCATGTTCATGAGTTTGGAGAACCCGTGAAGATTCGTTCAAAATCGCCCGTGAAGATCCGGATTGGAATTGGTCTTTAGCAACTCAAGAGGTCACTAACGGGATCGAGTGGTCAAGCTCGCTGACTTGGTTGATGCAGGTCATCGTATCCCAACTGCGTAGATCGATGCTCATGATTACAATAACTGGCTTGTCTAGTCCAGATTCGATTATTTACAGATCGCCACCATATAGCTGGAATATTGCTGGCTCGACGAAATATTGCAAACAAATAAAAGAAGTCACATACTTTCACATACAGAGATGGGTCAATCTACTCTGACCTCGCTACTCTGAATCCGCCTGTATTAACGCACCTGTAACAGACAGGATTTAAAAGCTACCATCTTCTGAATTACCTAATTCATGAAAAATAGGATGAACACTTGTGAAAATATCAATTTATATGCACCAGCGTAATATCTTTACCTCGACCCGACGTCGTTGATGCCACTCGATTCATTTTGTCGGAATGACGTCACACTAAGTTAGAAACGTCATAGATGGTAAAATATCAAAAGATATGCATGTGTGTTTTGTAGGTTTTACGAATGCAGTGTAAGAATACATGTAAAAACTCTCTCTCAAGTTCGGGAAATGCAAAAAATCGGAAAATCATTGTGCTCCAAAACATTCTCCGTGTACGAGAATCGTGAATACATAAACCATTACGATCTTGATGTAAACTGTATCTACGACCGATCGCTAAACAATACCTGGGGGACAATGTAATATGTATAGTGAGTGAGTTTGGTTTTACGCCGCTTTTACCAATATTCTATCAATACCAGAAATGAGCTTCACACATTGTACCCATGTGGCGAATCGAACCCGGGTCTTCGGCGTGACGAGCGAACGCTTTAACCACTTAGCTAACCCACCGTCCCTAAAATGCAGCAAAACGGTTACTGACAAAACAATAGGATACATTCGAAAATGCAGAAATGTGTCATCCATTCAATAATTGAGGTTATTCTCGCATAATCATCTAATGCCATGGTTTTGAAGTCAAGAGTCTAATTTAGTTTTACGCCGCACTCAGCAATATTCCAGCTATATGGCGGCGGTCTGTAAATAATCGAGTCTGGACCAGACAATCCAGTGATCAACAGCATGAGCATCGAACTGCGCAATTGGGAACCGATGACATGTGTCAACCAAGTCAGCGAGCCTGATCACCCGATCCCGTTGATCGCCTCTTACGACAAGCATGGGTTACTGAAGATCAATATTCTAACCCGGACCCTCACGGGTAAAAATATGAAGAATGTTTAGGATCAAGCATATAACGAGGTCCAACATGTCTGCATACATATACAGAAAGGCAATAAAACAACAGTGGTTAAACACTTTTTATCATTGTCCAAGGGGCAAAGTAACAATATTTCAACAATTTCATGCACAATATGGTGTTTTCACTGGGTACAATGCGAGATATTATCTAACGGAACGGGTGACACTGCTACAAAGATGGTACATCAGACTGTATTACCCTCGAGAGAAGCATACAACTTATATTGTCATTATTACCTGTTTCATCAAGTGATTTGGCATGCCCTTCCTGTGGGAGGACTGCAGTACAGTCAGACCTCGTCATGCGATGATAAGTATTGATTACATGTTCTAATATGTCACGTCACGCCGAAGACCCGGGTTCGAATCCCCACATGGGTACAATGTGTGAAGCCCATTTCTGGTGTCCCCGCCGTGATGTTGCTGGAATATTGCTAAGAGCGGCGAAAACCAAAATCAGTCAGTCAGTCAGTCAGTCTAATATGTCACATAGTTATCCATCGTTTCAAGTAAAAGAAAAACTTTGCTTCCAATTTCACCTCAGTTTTTAATGTATATGGTACAAAAGCATAAATGTCAGACATACATAAATGAACAAGACGATCCTCTGTACTTTGTTTTACCATATATAAATAAATGAGTGACTTTAGTTTAACGTCATCTGACGGCTGGTCTACCGAATGTGGGAGAACATCCCGAAGTAATACAGGTCTCAGATGTTTACCACGTGAACGGGTATGTGCTGACAATCCTTGAAACAGAACGGGGATTCGAACCCTCAGGATATCCGGCGTGTCAAAGGGACATAACTCTACTTAGACATGGCCTCTTGCCAAAAATATTTACCATTGGTGGTACAATATAGTGAAACCTGGTAACGCTATATGTTACTGTCAGACAAAGTATACTATTCGGGGTTATTCTCCTGTCAAAACCCACAAGCAGCTGATCCTTGCACGACAATGGGAGACAACTCCGCAAAAGAATATGAAGTAATACGGCCACTGGGCATGATGATTATTAAACAATTATTTTACTTACACTTGGAGCCTCGCTGTTTAAGGTGGAGAAAGTGCCCAACATCATTATTTTCCAACAGACATTTACGAATATTTGTGTCATGTGAATAAACATGAATGCGTGTTTAAGATGCAAATTTTAAGAGTTGCCAGGGATTATTAAAGGACAACGTTCAGAATCTACTCAGGCAAACAAGAAACATTAAATTACCTGTTACAGGTGACGAATACCTCCTTGAATTGCGCAAGAGTGAGATAAAGCGAAGCGCTAGATTCAATTACACATTAGAATGAAGTGCAGCGACAAAGATAGGGGAAGGTTCTCGCTGCGTTGACAACCTCTAGCTCAGATGCTCCTATGTGTAAAACGGTAATTAGATAAAAGGGTGATGGCGCTTCGAGAATCGTGAATGAAGAGAGTTGGTTAAAAATACATGTACGGAACGCGTGGCTTTGCCCTAGGAGCCGTGACGTCAGAGACGCGGGGCACGTTTCTGGCTTCACTTCTGGCTTCTGGTTTCAGAAAGACGTTGCACAAAGCGATCATAGCTCTGCGGTTGTTTTGTTGTTTTACGCCGCACTCAGCAATAATTCAGCTACATGACGGCTGTCTGTTAATAATCGAGTCTGGACCAGACAAGCCAGTGATCAACAGCATAAGCATCGATCTACGCAATTGGGAACCGATGACATGTGTCAACCCAGTCAGCGAACCTGACAGCCCGATCCCGTTAGTCGCCTCTCACAAGCATGGGTTACTGAAGATCAATTCTAACCCGGATCTTTACGGGTTAGCACAGCGATTGTCTCAGCTTTAACTTAATCTTACCATAGTTACACAATTGTTCAGAATTCTTTGTGAAAGTGGCCCGTGATTTTGGACGATGGACAAAAAATACA